CATATTGGTAGCTGATGTTAGCATAATTTCATTAATAATATTCTGTAACATTTTGAGATAAGAAGATGAACGTAGTCCTTGAGCTGCAAACACGTAACTCTTTCCTCCTCCCCCATCTCTGTGGCCCCTTCCAGAGAGGTAATCACCCATCAGCCTCCTGCTTCTCTCTTCCCTCCTTCCATACTTTCCTCCCAAGTAAATTGGCTCATTCTAGTAGATGTTTATGAAACAAATGCTCTTACATCCCTGTTTCCCTCCCTTTGGCGGTGGCTAAGGTAAGCAGGCAGCTCTGTACCTACTTAGAAAATAATAATATCTAAAGAAAGAGACAGGAAAATATATTCATTATAAGCTTTTTCTTTTTTTCTTTTTTAGAATTTAAGCTTACGAGTTTATCTACGCCCACTATATTCATAATTACAATTTAATATCTGCATACAAAAGCTATGTAAAAATCCATTTTTCCCAAATATACAAATTTTCTTTTTGGATAGTTTAAAACATTTTGATCACAGATTTCAACAGAGTTTTACGCTGAAAAAAATATTACCAATCTAGCAATATCACTTAACACTGTTTGCAAAACATAAGTCTTCAGATGACTGTAAATCTTTTTCTATCCTGCAGTATTTTTCTGATTCTCAGGGCATGACACATTACGGAAAAAAGTCTTTTCTCTGAATAAAGCATGGAGAACTAATTTGGCTCTATGATCAAATTGAAGATGTCAAGTTAATAATGGCGAACCCAAAGAAAGAAGTGGCCTAATGTCACATCAGCTCATTTATGCCCCGATAATTTCCATATCAACAACACACGTGTAAAGTGTCTTCTTTTGTCTTACATTGTGCTCTGTAATATACATGAGTATTATCTGCATCCGGAGGAGGACAGATTTATATTTGATTGTCTTGTGCATAAGGTGGGTCAGTTTTAACTGTGCAACAGAAAGCCACAAACAGCATTTTACTTGTGTGATATTGCTCTTGAAGGCGGCATTAGTTAATGTGGAGACACACTAGAAATGCACACTTTTTGCATTTGAAAACATTTATACAGCACAGTAAAAATTCTGTGATAAGGCCAAACCTTTTTTTCCCTCTAGTCTGTTTTTTGTATGTGTGTGTGTGTTCCCTCTAGTCTGTTTTTTGTATGTGTGTGTGTGTGTGTTTAAAGTATTTTTTTTTTTTTAAAGATTAAAGTAAAATGTTTCCATTGTAAAAAATACACACCGGGCAAGTCCCCTCTGGTCTGTTTTTTGTATGTGTGTGTGTGTGTGTGTTTAAAGTATTTTTTTTTTTTAAAGATTAAAGTAAAATGTTTCCATTGTAAAAAATACACACCGGGCAAGTCCTCACCTGGATAATAAATATCTACATCACAGTACAATAAAATTTCTTCTCTATAAAATTTAAATATGGATTATAGTCTATGACTATCAAAAGAAACACTAAGCTAATATTTCCATATTATTAAAATAACAGGAAAAATTACGAGCTTATTTTAGAACCTGATGCCATAGCTGTTGGGAAGGGCGAAGAGATTCAAATGTCTGTCACCACTCTCCTTTTGAAGAGGACCTGTGGCTTGGTTATTCACCTAAATTCAGTTCATGAAAAAGGTTTAGCCTTACAAATGCTGGCTATATTTCAAAAACCATAAGACCGATTTCATAATTTATGACTCATGCAGCAAAAGGTCAATATGACACGAAGAGGTTAGAGTTCCATAGAATAAAAATGTTTCACTGACAATGACATGCTTTGAGGGTGCTCAGCAGTTCGGTGGAGGCTGAGTGTTCCTGTTCAGGGCCAAGGCTGGTGCACCTGTCCACGGAGGAGCAGAGCCGGGGCCTGGCATCACCCCATGACCGCACTGCAGGTGTCACTCGGGGCACAGGTGGGGGGCATCGCTGGGCAGAGGCATCAACACGCAAGCGCGTCATTGAGGACCAAGGCTCTTGGACTAGAAAAGTTCTGAGGCGGCACGTGGTGTTTTGAGCAGAATCATAAGGAAGGAAAGATCTTACTTTTTTCACTAATTCTGGAAATACTGCACATCTGAACTGAAGAGCAAAGTACACTTGAGGGTGACAAACACAGGCACACACACGCACAAACGCACACACAAGCCTGAGCCGCTCATCCCCCAAAGTGACATGATTTATAAATAAGAATCCCAGCTGTGTGGGGTCTTCTCTACTGGGATTTCTCCCCACTGTGGGGGGCCGGTGCAAAGGGCGTTTCCATCGGGTCCACACTTGATTTGAAAGTCCAGATAATGTAAGAAAACATCTTTTTATAAAAAATCCAGAGAAAATCCCTCACAAGCGAGTTTTATGAGATGGAGTCTTGAGATGCACTAAGTACGCCAGTCAGTTTCAGAAGGAATGAGTGAGGGCTGCTTGGACCACCGGGGTCACGATCCGTGGGTCCCGACAGCCTTTCCTTTCAACCCGAAGTATGCTAAGCTTGTCCTACTCTGCATAAAGTATTCTACCTCCAACAAGACTTCTAGACCAGCGGTTTGCCTGTCTAAGGCAGCCATCTAAGGAGCTGGGGATCAAATGTTCTCTTACTTGGGGCAGGCTGCATGACTGCAGATATATTCTAACTGTCTGGCCAATTCCCAATCATGGTTAATCCCCAAAGCATTCTGATTCAGCTTGCAAGGGAGCTGGGGATCAAATGTTCTCTTACTTGGGGCAGGCTGCATGACTGCAGATATATCCTAACTGTCTGGCCAATTCCCAATCATGGTTAATCCCCAAAGCATTCTGATTCAGCTTGCAATCAGGCTCCGTAATTACATTTGAATCTGGGTGTGTGATGTGCTGAGGAATCTGTAAACAAAATGAGGAGACTTTCCCCAGAAGCCTGACGCCTCAGGGGTCCGTGAACCTGTCCAGTATGCCGCTACCTTGCCTTCCTCTCATTCCCTTTGGAAGGAAAACTTGCCCTCATAGCAATGCTTCTGAGTTACCCTGAAGTGTGGAGGTGGCTGAGTGTTCAACTTTCAAAGGGCAGCACTCTCCAAGGAGAGTCAACAGAGGGAGCTGAGATGTTCACCAAGCAAGCACTTCAGAAGACTGGCTAGGGCCGCCTAGGGAAAACAAAACCAGGAAAACTGTAGGCAGATAGAGTCAAGACAGGTAATCGGCCCATGAACTTCATGCCTAAAGTTTCAAATCTCTTCACCTACTTCCTTTCTCTGATTAACAGGATCCACAACAATGTTCTTATTTCCTTTTTTTCCCATAATTGCTTTAGCGCATTAAACATATAATCTCGCCCCAGATTATTTCCAATAATAATTGGGATTTTCAACGTTGTTCTTTTCCTTTTTCCAAGGCCATTCCTCTAAATAGTTGACTAGTATTGTATCAAATTCTTATTTTGAATCAATACCAAATATACATTCCTTAACTAAGTGGGTCATACTTTTTGTCGAATAAAGCTACAAACTGGAATATGAAAGAAACTATCAAAAGAATCAGGTTTTTCCCCATGAAATTTGTACAGTATTAAGGGTGGAAAGGATTTTAGAGATCATGAATTATTCACCAGCTGAGAAAACCAAGACACCTAAAGTCACAAATCTACCAGTTGACAGAGCATAAACTGGAACTCGGGCACCCAGACTTCTGGGTCAGTTATGCTCTGCCAAGCTTAAAAAAATCTGTCCACTCGGTTTTCACAGTGACTTTCATTCCTTTGTTTTTAGGTAAATCTTACTGATATGGCTTTTTTTCCCCAATATTTCCAGGGTAAGGCAGTAAAAGGCTGGTAAAGGAATAGTTTACATCTACTGTGCCAGTGAAGAATGAGATACATTCAGTTGCATGGGTGCATTCTTTGCCCATTTTCTGACGTCCAAGTGATGAGGTGTCACCATTTGCTTTCTGGGCACAAGCTACTCCAGCGTAGGTTGTTGGGGAGGCAGGTTGGGCAGGGAAGGTAGGTGAGTGTTCACGTGCTTGGCCTGCAGGTGTTTCCTGTTGAATATCTGTGAGGGCAATGCTGTAAAAGGGACAGGAGGGTCAGCAGCAAGACCAGTGTTTGTTTAGAGATAATCGAGCTATTTAGTGCCTCAGAGGGAAAAGGGGGACTAGGAAACGTTTGTGCCTGAAGCAAGGGCTTGAGGATCTAGGAGCAGAAGGAAGCATCCTCAAACCATCGGTAAGTGAGGACTCTCAACACGACATTGACTTCCACTCACAGTGTAACCGCTCTCATCTCTCCTCAGAATTCCTCCAGAACGAGACTCACGTGGCTCCATGACAAGAAGACTTAATCCACAGGGAAATCTGCTGTCCGCTCAGCAGAGATGCAACCAGGATAAGTAACTTCAGGAGCTTGGAGATGACAGATCAGATGCCACTGAAAAGTGATGACACCCTATAAATAGGTTTGATTTCTGTGGAAATGTTCTCTGAGCTTAAACTGGAAAGAAGCCTTCCTCCTACTGTGAAGTCATACTATGTGACTTTTTGGAAACTGTAAAAATGATATTGATAGGACAGATGATTTTTTAGGACACAAATATTCCTGTACATTCCAAGTTATGCTGCCAGGAGAGAATAAAGATTGCTGAAAACAGCATGCTTTTGAATAGATGAAAATTTGTTTGAAGACTTTCCCTAAAAAGCTGAAAGCCACATCTAACCACAGGTGGTCTGTGCTCTGCTATCTTGAGCCCTGTAGAAATGAGGATCAAAATTACCTTATCATCTTGGTTTTAAGGCTTCTTTAGTCTTCTGCAGTGCCATTTTGCTTGCCTGAGTCTCTGACCAGGGCCAGGTGGGGGCTGGTGATGACTTGGTGCTGGTGAGTGAATGACTGCCCCCCACCCCACCCCCACAACCGTAAAGCCTCCAAAGCATTCACATCGAAGGACTGGGGAATGAAATGCAAGAGTTACGAGTACCCGCATTCAAGGGGTGATTTCATCCATGTCTATTCCAAGGACTACCCCCTTTACCCCCAAGTAATCCCTTCCAACACAAAGAAACAAAGGAACAAACAAAAAAGAGCTGGGCAATGGAATGAAATGACTGCCAGTAGTGCTGTAGGAATTATGAGAACGAATCCAGTCGGTCTAATCCTCGAACACTTCCAAGAACAAAGGGGGGAAGAGTTCCGTGGGGCATTCCACCTTCATGTGCAGGAAGCGGCTGGCGTGGCAGGCTCCAATCATCCGCAGGTCTGTCACCTTCATCAGGAGTTTTGGCCAAAAGTGTGTCACATGGTGTTTTCGGTAATTGATATAGTGTTCAAAGGCCAGCAGGAAACTATCTTGGTATTTTTCTATTCTCTCAACACAGGCAAGCCCTGGGCGATCTGAGGGGAAGAAAAGAGATGGGTATTAATTCAGGTGGAAAGGAAAAGGCTTGCCTCATCCAGTTTAGGTCCTTTAGTGGGAGGTGGGCAGATCTGGGGACTTTCAACTCTTCGGAATGAGTGTGGCTGCAGCATGAACCCTGGGGCAACAGGGGCCGAGGTACCAGGGGAGTGGGCATAATGCATGTGTGGGGAGTTGATGCTGTGTTCAGATCAATGTCTCTGGTTAGACAAATCCCCTCCTTGGGTGTGAAAGGAGATGCCTCCCTCCTAGGGCACAAAAGGAGAAGCCTAACATAGTCTGGGGCACCAGGGGCCGAGGTACCAGGGGAGTGGGCATAATGCATGTGTGGGGAGTTGATGCTGTGTTCAGATCAATGTCTCTGGTTAGACAAATCTCCTCCTTGGGTGTGAAAGGAGATGCCTCCCTCCTAGGGCACAAAAGGAGAAGCCTAACATAGCTGAAATATTCTGCATAATGAGGGGAAAGATTTTGTTTCCACTGGCTGCCTGGGAGAGAGGGGAAGGCCAAGCATAGACACGCAGAGAAGAGGGAGATCTGAGAAGAGATTGGGGACATGGTGGGAGGAGTGTCGTACGGTAAGAAATTTCCTTGCGACAAAGAAGTACAACGTGCAAATCACACCAGCACAAGGCTGCAGTGATCTACTCCTGCCCTTCCCTTATACCTTGAGTAAGATTGCTATCTGGAGCAGCCTTGCATTGGTGGCAATTTGGGGAATTAAAATGAAATGGAAAGGGGACGGAAGCCATGCTAGAATCATCCTGTGCAGAGAAGAGAGCAGCACGGTGGGAAGAGGAGCAAGAGAAGACCGTGCNGGGAGGTGGGCAGATCTGGGGACTTTCAACTCTTCGGAATGAGTGTGGCTGCAGCATGAACCCTGGGGCAACAGGGGCCGAGGTACCAGGGGAGTGGGCATAATGCATGTGTGGGGAGTTGATGCTGTGTTCAGATCAATGTCTCTGGTTAGACAAATCCCCTCCTTGGGTGTGAAAGGAGATGCCTCCCTCCTAGGGCACAAAAGGAGAAGCCTAACATAGCTGAAATATTCTGCATAATGAGGGGAAAGATTTTGTTTCCACTGGCTGCCTGGGAGAGAGGGGAAGGCCAAGCATAGACACGCAGAGAAGAGGGAGATCTGAGAAGAGATTGGGGACATGGTGGGAGGAGTGTCGTACGGTAAGAAATTTCCTTGCGACAAAGAAGTACAACGTGCAAATCACACCAGCACAAGGCTGCAGTGATCTACTCCTGCCCTTCCCTTATACCTTGAGTAAGATTGCTATCTGGAGCAGCCTTGCATTGGTGGCAATTTGGGGAATTAAAATGAAATGGAAAGGGGACGGAAGCCATGCTAGAATCATCCTGTGCAGAGAAGAGAGCAGCACGGTGGGAAGAGGAGCAAGAGAAGACCGTGCCCATGTAAAGCCCGGCAGATCTTCCCAAGTCTTGTCCCCCCACTGCACTTGGGGGAGGAATGGCAACTTGTGTGTTTCATTTTGTGTTTTCCTTCCTATTCGACAATGCTGCTCTGTAGGTCCGTTCACTCCCTTTCTCTCCCACTGGTCCTCCCACAGTACGTGGGAGGAGACTCAAGCCAGTTTCAAAAAAGTGTTAAATAAAGGGGTGACACCAGAAGGCTGAATGACTGGGGAGTTATCCAGGCTCCAACACTGGGTAACAAAACAATTTATAAACATGGATGGATTCCTCCAATAGCTGCAGTAAGTCCAACTTCCCCTGCCCCGCTCAGTTCTCTTGAGTTTGTTCTTTGTAGCCCCGATGGAATGAATTCGCACTTCCAGAGTCTAGTTATTGAAGGGTGTGGATTAGTAAGAATCTAAATAGGGTTCTGCTTCATCTGAAAGGAAGGATCAGGGCTGGGTCTCAATCCACCCTTCTGAATCTAAAACTGGATGGGCTTTTGGAATCCCCTGTTTGGTTCAAATGGCACCTCGTGTGTTTTTGTGTTTTCCTTCATACTTGACAATGCTGCCCTGTGGGTCTGCTCACTCCCTTCCTTCCCCCTTTCCTTATCTTTTCTCTTTCTTTGAGTGTACAAGGACAATTCTCCACAGAATCCTGTAACTTTTGGTTCGCATAGAAAATCAACATATTGCTTTAGATGTATGCCTTCAAAGAGGGAAAATAGCCCGAGTTTTGTGGCATCAAAACTGTGTTCTTTTATGAGATAAAGATAAGAAGGTCATATAAATTATAGAGATAATGAACTGGCATTCTGATGATGCTTGAATTATACTAAACAGGTTTATGAAGAGAGAAACAGTTTAAAGACCAATGACTGTTTTTAACTCCTAAGACAAAAGTTCTTAAAGAAATGTCTTTCGGATCCCTTCTATTTTCACTCTCTGCTTATCACTGTGGGACCAAGGATCTTGGCAGTAGTAGCTCTTGGAAAAGGCTTTGTAGAAAAAGTCTAAGATAATGTGTAACTGAAAGGCCAGCAAAACATGGGGCTTAGAAGACAAGGTTGAGGAGAAGTGGAGCCTTGGGGCTCCGATATGCAGGTATCACGTGAAAATGTACAATGTCTTGTAATATTTTTCTGGTCCTGACAGTATTAATGAAAAGTGCCCACATCCCTAGGGTGGAGAAGATTTTAAAAACGTTATTAGTATATCACATGTCTTCCAGGCAGTGACAGCCTCATCAAATCGGAGAATTGGGAAGAATTATTCAGTTAGGTGTTTGATAGTGTCTGGTAGCACATTCACATTTTTTTTTTTTTGCCATCTGCGTCTTTTCCCTTTACCTACCTAAATTAAATTATTTTCTTAATGATCCATTGAATTGACTCATTACAGAGGAAATGTCATATTTTTCAGGAATCAAAATCCATTTGCCATAAGTAGAAGACAACTACGAACATGGATGCATGGCAAAAACCTTTTTAAAATTTTAACTAAAGGGTCTTGCTGAAGATTTTGTGCTGGAGATTGCTTTCTCTTTCTTGAAAAGGAAGGTTAGCAAGTGTTTGAGAGGTGTTAAAGACAGACTAGCACCACACTGAATCTCTTTCCTTGCCTTATTTAGAAGGAGATATAATCAGAAAGAAAATTGTAAAGGAAATAGCTTTCTCACTATGTGATTCAACATCGTTTAAAACTATCTTTGTACCATTAAAATCTCAACTAAAAAATTACTTTGAGTCTCTCCAGAAATATAATTCCCACTTATACAGTTCAATTTCTTTATTTTAAAGGTCTTTGAAGCCTAGAGAGGCCAGGGGGTCACCCAAGGTCATATAGGGAGTTCTTAGGTAAGCTACAAATTTTATTTCTTTGAGAAAAATTCCAGTGAAGGACCGAGGGCCCCGGTTTCTTTCTGGCTATCAACTGGAGACTACCTCAGCTCTAGAAGCCATCTGCAGTGCCCTGTCATGGGAACTTCCCCAGCATGGCCACTGATCTCATGAAGCCAGTCAAGAGGGAGTCTCAAGAGGGAGTCTTACATTACATAACATGTGGGTGACATCTAATTTACCATGTTCTATTGGTTAGAAGCAAGTCACAGGTTCTTCACACACTGAAGGGGAGGAGATTATACAAGGTGTGAACACCAGAAAAGGGGACATGGGGGCCACTCTAGAGTCTTCTCCTGCAGTGTATAAGAGGGTTCCTTCTGCTGTTCTATCTACTTATATTCAAAATTTTCAAAATAAAAGAAAATTAAAATTAAAAGTCAGATTTTTGAATTAAAACTCTGTCATATCTAAATTGCTTGTAGCAAATAAATTCTAGATCAGCTTTAAAAAAAAGAATTCTACTGAGTTAAATAAAAAGCATCAACTGTACAAAGGATTCCTAATGTACTTGTGACTGATATTTTACCCATGTATGCAGCCATTTATTCAATAAATATTTCTTGAATTCTACTAAACAGTGGCCTAGATGCTAAGTTTACAGCTAGACACATCTATGACCTCAAAAAATAAATGGTTAGGAAGGAGATGGACACGTTTAGCAGATACAGTGCAGGTGACAGGTGCTGAAGAAGTGCTAAATGTAGGGTGCTCTGAAAACGTGGAGGATGACTCTGAAACCACCTTCTATTTAAAGACTAGCTTCCCTTAAAGAGTGTGATGTATTTTGTATTTCTTATTTATGACATGATCCCTGAAGAAAAAGTGTCAGCTTTATTATCTACCCTGCCCTGATGGGAGTTAGAAGTTTTGACAGTGAGCTATGGTGGGTTAAAGATGGCTGCAAATTCTTTGCTACATTTTGTCATCTAGAGGTGGGCTGTTGAATCTGTGCTGGCACTAGGACTTGTTTGGACCAATAAGATGTGGCTGAAGTGATGCCTTGAGACTTGAGACTTAGGAGTCTGCAACTTCTACTTCCGTGTGCTTGGCACTCTCTCTCTTGGAATCCAACTGCTTTGTAAGAAATCTAACTATCCTGGAAGAGGACAGGCCACGTGGAGGGAGGCCTGAAGCTGTGTTTGAGGTCTCAGCCTCAGCTCTAGCCATTTTAGATGTTTAAGCCACTACGTTTTGGGTTGGTGTCCTTTATAGCAACAGATAACTGAAACAAGTTGTAGCTGAACCACAGACAAATTCTAGCTTTTACACATGATGTCCACACATCCTTATCTTGTATACCTAAACCCAGAAGGAGGCAGGGTTGACCAAATAATACGAAGCAGGCTGGGTAGTGTCTGCTGAATCATTTCACAGAATTTTTTAAGATGGCTCCTTTGGTTTTTTCCCATTATCCTGGGAGACTGCAAAACACATCAGACATCTGACACCCTCCTTCAGTTCCCAGTCCATTGGCAAACCCCCAATTTCTCACTGAGGGAGAGTGAGCTATGATCCTGAAGCTGTGAGCACCAGACAAGCAACAACAGCTCTTCTGATGCCCAGTAACGAGCCCAGGCACACTCACCTGAAGACATCAGCAGGACGGCCTGAAGGAGGGCTACTTCCGTGTCGTCCAGGTTGAAAGAAGACAGAGACATGCCCAGGTCAAAGATGGCATCCGACACCACCCCAAGACCCCCGTTTTTCAGCTGGCCCCGTGTCACTGCCATTTCCCCATTCAAGGTTAAAGTCTCACTTTCTGGGTCATAGCGCACAGCAGCACGAAGGGACATGATCTCCATGCAGCAGCCTTTGAGGAGGATTATCTGGTCTTCACATGGCAGCTGAAAAGAACCAGCCCACATCAGCAAAGAACTAGTGGACAGATGCCAGTCAGGAACAATGTACAGAACCTTACAAGAATCAACCTACAGTGATCAACACGAGTCCTGCGTTATTTGGGCCCATGTTTATTCCTTCCCTACTTGGCTGCACTTTCACAACCATTTTTTCATACCCCAAGTTGGTTGTAGTCTTTGCCAACTTTTATCTCATAGTTTGCAATTCTTTTAATGACAAATATATCTCTCCAACTGGTATTACAGTCACGTGTGAAACCGTGCTCATAACCCCTTGGTCTGGGGGTTTGTACTACAGCCCCAGCTGATAACTGCTTGAACACAGGGTTTATGTTAAATCAACCAATATTTTTGTCTTGTAGCTCTAATAGTTAGCAGCTGACTCTACTGTTGAGCTAGGAACTGTGTTTCTCTTTGTTTCTGAAGCACGTTTGCTCTTTGAGTCTCTTAAAAGGCAGAACTAGAAGGTTGTTGACAGATGAGGTCCAGAGATATAAAAACTTTGCCCAAGGTCACCCAGTGAGTTAAGAGCAGGGGTGAGACCAAAATTCAGACATCCAAGCTCCTAAGGGTATAATGTTCTCAGTACCTCAGACACCAGAATTACTCAACACTGGCTCTTTCTGCCAATGTTGCCATCTCATTATTTTAAGCTCATTTGGTTACTGTGTTAATTAGGATTTGTGATAATGTGATAACATCAATAATAAACTTAAAAAAGATCTTTACTAAGAAAAATAATAAAAGAATTTTATTTTCTGGAGGGTATGATGTTTAATTAAATGCCATTATCAAACTAGTTTGAAAGGCTATTAGTTAATGGGTGTTTTTGATGAATTGGGCATTATGCCGAGATTTACATGCATCACCTTATTTAATCTTCCCAGTAATAGCGTGAGGTAAATATTCTAATTCCAATTTTATTTACAGATGTGGAAACCCAGGCACTGAGAGGTGAGTCACATGCTAGGGGATCACATGAATGTTTGTGGGTGAGGCTAGGATTTGAAACCACATCTGTCAGAATCCAATGTTAAGAGAAGAAGAGAGCATGCTCTTTGGAAGTACCATGGAAGTGACTAAGTTTCCATAAACAATGAATATGTAAATTACACATAATACCCATCTCTTCATTAAAGTTGTTGCACATTCTTTTTTTAAAATTGGGTTTTAAAATTTTTAAATTTAAAAAAATTTTTAAATTTAGAAAAATTTTTAAAAATTAAAGAAAATTTCTAAATTTAAAAAAATTTTTAAAAATTAAAAAAAAATTTATTTAAACTTATTGATTCTACATATTTATGGGGTAAACTATAAATTCTTTTGGGGAAATAGTCTTGGCAACATTTGACCAGTCCAATTTAATTTTTTATATGAAAGTGAAAGTAATACTCTTGAATTACATTTAAAATACTCGATATTTCATGTTTGTCACTAGCTGAGCCTAGTCACCTTGCCATGTAATTTCAAACTGCTTAGCTTTTTCCACAGAATAAAAGTCATTGCATATTTAGTTCTGGAATACATACATACAAATTCTCCTCTTCCACCCATTTGAAAAAATAATCATTGTGGTTTGCTTTGGTTTAGGTTCTGATTTGTACTCCTCATTCTTGGATTTGTAGTCCAAGAGGGTGGTAGGAAATAGGAAACTCCAGCTTGGATAGATCCTCTACAGGTAAGATGGAGAACTGGCTAGAGCAGGCAGAGGCTGGCCTTAATGACTAGGGCAGTAGGTCCACATTTCAGCCCTATCGGGATCACCTGAAGGCTTGTTAAAAACAGAGGGCTGGCCTCACCCCCCGAGTTTCTGCATTTCTCCCAAGTTCCCAGGCAATACTCATGCTGCTGGTTCGTGGACCTGACTCTTGAGAACCACTGGTAGAGAACAGCAAAGAGAAACGACAAATCAGATCAAACCATTTATTTCTTTTTATCTATCACAAAGTATGCAAACTTGGGCAGATCCCACCTTTGAAGCCAAGTCTGATTATAGATGAAGCAGAAGTTTTCTTTTTAAAACCTGCTAACTGATGATGGTTAGTTCAAATTTAAATAAAGGGTGAGTAAGTATTTGCAAAGGATCACCAAGGGTTTGGAAACTGGGCCAGATACTTTTTCCTTTAAGAGAGATTTGTAGGATCCTGGTGAGATTTGTTTCAACATGTGGGCAAATAATCTCTTAGACACCTGCTAAAATGCTTTCATTGTAAGAACGCTCCAACAAGGGACTGACAGGCAGAGGCACAGAGATGCTCCCACAGAGTCTTCCCATCTCCTCAGGGGAGCATCACTCAGGTTGAATAGGAAAGATGACAGTGCCCTGTCATCTTGGGGTCATACTTATGTATTGTTTTGGCAGCTCTGTCAGCAATGATTTTAGATTTTGCAAAGCCGAGGTGTCATACCAACCTTGTTTGGCAGATAAGCATGGATCTGAGCAGAACAATGACCACAAACACAATTTGAATGGCAGATGCATCAAACTGCCACTGGCAAGAGATCCCTGGCTCTCAAGACCACCTGGGATCTCCAACCCACTCTACTGGTAGCTCAAGGGCCTACACAGTTCATTACTCTCTCTTGAGTCTCAAAGAGTATGTAGAAGCCTAAAAGGTCCCCAGGAGGCCACAACACTGGAAACCCATGCATCTCTGCTGTAAAAGTGTTCCTGCCCTCCCCTGCATTTAATAATTTGGACTCTACAAAATATCAGGTTGAAAGAGAGATGGAATCATGACAATAAAACAGGCTTAAACCTCTAAGGGAAACTTGAAGAGATATGCTTGCCACACGCATGATTGAAAAGTTCCACGTTGATTGCTCACCCTTGTCACGGACGTACATGCACCGTAGAGATGGCTTCTTTTTTTTCTTTCTTTAACTGAAATACCTCTTCAGTGGTTGGTTTACATGAGTTTTACATTTTTAAAGAAACATTCTTGGTGGGCATTCAAAGGGTGCCATGTGATGGGCAGACTGACTTGAGCTGTAAGGGTAGCCAACGCAATAGAATTCCTCTGCAGCCACCGAGGACTGGGGGCCGAGGGACACAGCCAGAGTGAGGACCCAGAAAAGTCCAGGAAAACAAAACCAACCAGCCCAATTACCAAAAAGGAAGTATGACAGCTAGAGTTGGCAGGAGTGAGAGGTAAAGGCACAGATGTGAGAGTGTACACACTTTCTCTCTTGAGGGCGATTTGACAAGGCAAATTGAAAGCTTTAGAAGTTATATATCTTGGTCCTTAAATTCCATGCCTAGGATTTACCTTAGAAAATAGTCAGTGATGGGGGCAGGGCATAGTTGCCAGAATTTTTAATGAAAAAAGTGAAAATGAACTACAGATACAGTAAAGACAGATAAATTATGGCAGATCTATTCTTTGAAATACTATATAGTCATTAAAAATCACTTTGTGAAAGAATATGTAAATAATATGTCCTACTGTTGAGGGTAAAACCTTAGGAATGGGGATGGGTGCTGGTGACATTCTGCTTCTTTATCTTGGTGCTGATTATGTGGGTGGGTTCAGTTTGTGAAAATCTATTGAGTTGCACCCTTACGATATGTGTGCTTTACTCTTTACTAAAAAGTTACAAAAAGAAGTTTCATAAATAGAAAGTACATTATGGTATAAGTTATATTGATATATATTTTTCTATTTCATATATATGTACATGTGTGTGTATGTGTGTGTCTACACAGAAATATTTGAAAAAGGGCTAAAACAGTCTCCGAAATGTTAGTGGTGTTATCTCGTGGTAGTGTTACCATGAAGCGTTACATCTATTATGCTGCATAAATCTTCAATGAATATGCATTGTTTTTGTGATATCTTCCAATACGTTAATAAATGTTAATTTTTAAAAAAGATGTCAAAGGCATGGGAAGCTCCATGCCAAATGCAGATATGAGTCAAAATTCCTTCCCCAGGCACTGAGTCGTTCCCCCTGCAGGGCTATGGGTACTAGCACATCAGGCACCCCGGAGTATAGACTGAATATTTGTGTTCCTCTAAAATTCATATGCTGCAACCTAATCCTTAGTGTGATGGTACTGGAGGCAGGGACTTTGGGAGGTGATGAGGTCATGAGCGTGGGGCTCTCCCAAAACTGATGAATTGCTCTTATGAAAGAGGCCTCAGAGAGCCCCCTTGTCCCTTCTACCATGTGAGAACGGGAGAAGATCGGGTCTATGAACCAGGAAGTGGGCCCTCACCAACAATAAAGTGGCTGGCATGTTGATCTTGGACTTCCCAGTCTCCAGAACTGTGAGAGATGAATTTCTGTTGCTTGTAAGCCTCCTGGTCTGTGGTATTCTGTTATAGCAGCCTGAACTAAGATGCCTGGCCCCCACTACAGTGAAGCTGGGGGGCAAAAGGCAGGTGTGTGCTTCCCTCTAAGCTGGGTCTGGGGGTCAGATACCTGTGTGCAAAGCCAACTGTCCTGTCCTTCTGGGTGTGGCTTCTGTGGAGGCTCAGAAATAGGCAACTGGTGTACCCACCAATGTCTGAGGTCTCTCTGATTCTAGCAGGGCTCCTGTTATTGCAAACTCAAAGACATAAATGAGCTGGGAGCTAAGGTAGCAAGGATTGACTCCAGGTGAGGAAATTCAGCTTTTTCTAGGTAAGACTAGAATCAATCACTTAACACTCAGGTTGCTAACATAAGAGACTTGCAGCAGTATGTGACCATGACTGTCTCTATTTGGTATCTTTCTGGGTTCCCTTGAAGGTGTGAAGAGCAATAGATTGGCACCTTATGGAGTTTTTCACAGGGAAATGTTCTCCAGAAAACATAGTCAACCCCACTGGATTCAAGAAAGGAAGGTTAGAGGCAGGATGGAAATGTAATAGATGAAATAACAGCAGTATTAGCAGCTAAAATTTATGGAACACTTATCATGACCTACCCAGGCATTGTCCAAATGCTTTACATATATTTTCCTATTTAAACCTCCCAACAGCTCTAAGAGGTAGATACTATTATGATTCCCATTTTAAAGATGAGGTAACTGAGGTTTCAGGACATTAAATAACTTGTTTAGGATTCTTCCCCATGCAGCTGACTGCACAGCCAAGGCTCTCAGCGACCACGTGGCAGGACTGCTAAAGGTATGGAAGAAATGTCCCAAAGGGACATAAGCTCTGGTGGGTGAGCTCTTTTGGTGCCCCAGAGATGGGGCAAGAAAGAGTGAGCATAAGGAAAAGAGGGAAGATTAAGGAGATATTAAGAGCTTACTCTGTGAAGGCCATTTGACTATTTTTAAAGATTAAGAAATGACCACATAGCCATCTTGCTCTGATATGTAGTGGGAAGAATACAGACCTAGGTTCAAACCATGGCACCACAGTTGGATAAGTGAATTTAATCTCTTTGACCTTAATTTTCCCCATCTGTAAGATGGGGCTAATAAAAGCTACCCTGCAGATCTGTTAGAAGGATTGGATTCAATGTGGGACAACTTGAGTATGGTAACTAGGACATCGTAGGTGCTGAATGGATGGAAGCTCCTGCTATCATTATTTCGCTAGGCCTGGAGTCAGGGGGATAGGCTAGGATCTTGATGCACTTCACGTGGACAAGCTAATGAATGACAGCTGAACAGAGAAGGTGGGGAAATACAAATGAAATAGAGTGCATTTTCATTTTGTGCTGACATTGCTTTTATATGACTAAGTTCTTACTAATTAATATTAAATTATAAGCAATCCCCAGTATTTCTGGAAATTGATGAAACGATAATGAAAAATAATGCAGGAGGAAAAACGATTTTCTCACCTCACAAAACATAGGCAACTTTTTGGCAAAATCCACCACTCTGGTAATTGCTGGTGTGATGATTTTTGTGAAATGGCTGAAGGCTTCCAAGTCGACCTTTCCACCTTCTGGGGCATTTACTATTGGGGCTTGCCCAATATCTTCCGGCTAAGGAGGAGAAACAAGAAAGATTTAAATGAAGACCTTGAAAGGAGCTTTATTTATCACAGGTCTCATGCAGCAGAATATCTCTTCTGAACTGACATCCTGTACAGTTTCCAGTTTTCACATTGTTTAGTAACAAACTGTACAGTTTTCACATAGTTTATTTCTTTGAGCAAAAATATATACGTCTTGGCTGTTGCTTTAATAAGCCTCTAGTGATAATGTTCACAGGCTTATTGCTGTAGAAAAAGAGAAAGAGAGAGAGAAGAGAAGAGGAGGAGGAGGGAGTGAAAGAGGGAGCGAGGGAAGGACAGTCATTTGGGTTTTGCTTCTGAATGCACTGAGTGTACACTCAGGCCTGATGACATAAATCCTGGGGGCTCTGGCACTTTCGGAGTGCTGCTTATTCTGGGGTGTGTCTGTGTGTGGCAGGTGTGCCCAGCATGGGCGGTGATGGAGGGCTGTGATGGGAGAGGCCTGGCAAAGAGTGCCTAGTGGGCTCACTCTTGCTTTTACGCAGCTGCTGGGGCTTGAAGTTTCTCTCTGCCCTTCAGACTCACCTTTGAGGTGGTCTCAGCTGAGGCCTTCTGGGGGTGTGTGTGGGGGAGAGCTCTCCTGCAGGAAATGGAGGCGTGCAAACTTGGCAAACCTTAGGTCAAACTTGGCGAATTGACTAGTATTTGGCATCCCCAGGGCGCTTCTCTGCCGTGTACTTGCTCAAGAACAAGTACGTGGCTTTGCTGCTTAGAGGAAGGTGCAGCAGCATGGGTGTCACCTGGGGACTTGTTAGAAATGCAGACTGTCAGGCTCCTCTCCAGACTTGATGGCTGATGGCACAGAATCAGCATTTTAGCAAGACCCCCCAGGTGACGTGTGTGCACCTTAGGCTTCCCCACATCCAGGGAGCCATCTTGCTCCTTAGCCTCGCATTCAGTGACCTCATTATGTGGCCTCCCTCACAGAATCAGCATTTTAGCAAGACCCCCCAGGTGACGTGTGTGCACCTTAGGCTTCCCCACGTCCAGGGAGCCATCTTGCTCCTTAGCCTCGCATTCAGTGACCTCATTATGTGGCCTCCCTAAGAGTATCCCCTGCTGTCGCCCAGTGCTTCCTGGCAGGAACAGTCCTCTCCACTGTCTCCTCTTGTTTTTGTGATAATAACAGCCACCATCTATTTGTGGCCTACAAGCCACACATGCTACCCCATTTCAGGTGGTCCTCAGGCAGCCCTGATGTGCAGATGAGCAAACCCGGCTCAGGAAGGTTCAGTGAAACCCACTGAGGCCAGCCTGGGAGCTGGGGCCCTGTTGCCACACTGCAGTCTTCCCAGGGGCGCCACATCTCCCCACCCCACTCGAGGCCCCACTTGAGGCTTTTACTGTCTGTACACTTTCTGTCACCAGGGAGCAGAATCTTCACTCCTCTTAACACTCCCCTTGCCAGCCTCTCCAGCTGTCTTCCAGGAAGATGTGAATGTGACCACGGAGCCCAGAGCCACAGTGAATGGACAGGAACAAGGCCTGGTCTCTTCAAGGCAGCCAGGGGGTGGGAGGTGGAGGAGGGAGGGCAGGAGGGATGGGAACGAGGAGCTGACAGTACCAGTGAGTCCAGCAAGACCGACTCCCTCACTTGCAGAGCAGTGAGAACACTGCCAACGGCAAAGTTAGGCAAGGATTTGACCCAACAGAGTGGCCCAAACTTCACCGTGCATCAGAATCACCTGGTTTCTGGGCCCTGCCCCAAGAATTTCTGATTCAGTAGGTCAGAGGTGGAGCCCGAGAATCTGCATTCCTAACCAATTCCCAGGTGATGCTGGTGCTGGGCCTGGTACCACACTTTGAGAACCACTGGGCTAGCAGTGACCACATCCGGATCAGAGTAATCTGGTTACCCTATTTCTTCCCACATACCCCTATTACTGCTCACATCTAACTTTCAGCAGGAGGAAAAGCAAAAGAAGATTCTTTTACTCTCCTGTTGCCAGGGTACTAGGGTCAACAGGACCAGCTCAGGCCCTCCAAGGGGGTGGTAAGAGTCGTGGTTACTGCCTCAGGGGAGAATTTTTAAACATGTTACATAACAAACTCTGGCAGCATTGATCTTTCTTGGATTATCCAGCAGGTTCTGTTTATTTTTTACTTTTTTTTTTGTTTGCTTTGGTGGCAGCGTTTCTGTCGTGTTTTCATAATGAATGACAATGTTTTGGGGCAACTGTTGGCACAGCAAGCCCAGGGAAGGCTACTGTTGTGCTGGCTTTCCAGATGCAGATGAAATTGATGGAATAATCACATGTGCAAATTCCTTCTCTCTCCCTCTTTCTCACATAGACTGAGCTAAGGCACAAGGGACATCAGTTCCTCCTTTGGGTACTGCTCCTTCCTCCAGGGAAGGCTACTGTTGTGCTGGCTTTCCAGATGCAGATGAAATTGACGGAATAATCACATGTGCAAATTCCTTCTCTCTCCCTCTTTCTCACATAGACTGAGCTAAGGCACAAGGAACATCAGTTCCTCCTTTGGGTACTGCTCCTTCCCGCATCCTTCGGATGTCCTTACTCTTTATAATTTCTTCTCTTCTCACCCCTGAAAATGAGGCTCATCTCACTTACTTCTACTTTACAAGCCTGTTATGCTAAAGGGAAAGTGGGCACACATTCAAAAAGGTAGGGAGTTTTACATAAAAATTATATAAATATATATGGTTGATATGTATATGTAAAATTTACATATACTGTATATACATACAGTAACTTTTTTTAGAAATAAAAATATTTTAATAACATGGTTTCGGCCTGGTTGAATCCAAACATCTCCTCATTGAATGTTGATCAATCTAATCTGATTGTATTTATAAGGTATCCAGTGTCCTTTGAAATGCTGGTGGGTTGACATTGATGTTAATAATTTCCATTCGGTCTGTGGGTGTGTGGGGTATCTGACCACCTATGACCTCTCTAAAGATTTGAAAAAGGGAGGGAAGTTATGCAAGAAAATATGGCAATTTTAATTAAAATGAAACCCCCAAATGTAACAACCTTACAAGCTTTTCTGTTGAAAATATATGTCAGGGTAGAAGAAAATATGCTCCTCTGGGACAGTGGGTTTAGGGAGGGGGACAAAAGCAGAGATTCAGGTGTGTGCACAGGTGTGGCATTAGCCCTACTCAGCACGAGGGGAGGCTGGTATACCCATCACTTCTAACTGGCTTTCTGCATTGGCGGTTTCATCGGCATTGACCAAGGTGAGTAGGAAATGCTGCCAGTTGACCTCTGCCAGGTGGCTGGCTCAGAGCCAAAGACATCTTGGCTTGAATAGGCAGCTCTTTGGCACATGCAGAGCGGGGTGGGGCCACACGGGACCCTCCCTCCTCCGCTCGTTCTTAGGGTGTCTTCTCACAGCTTGCAAGGCTAGGCTGGAAGAAATGGGCAGACAGATTCCTGGTCCCTGGGCTTTGGAACATGACTACAGGCCGGCCATTTTCCTGGGACAAGCAGGGATAGGATGGTGAGGGTGGCAGTGGTAGGGATGATACACATAGTAACCACTTAGGTGGTTGTTAACTATGTGCCAGTTTACAGCCATACCACCCTGAACACACCTGATCTCATCTATTAATGACATGCCAAGCACTGTCAGATCCTTCATATCTATTACTTTATGCCATTTGGTAAGAATATAAGGCAACTGAGCCTTAGAGAGGTGAAATCGCTTGCCCAAAGTCACACAATTAAAAAGCCACAGAGGCAAGCTCTGGACCCAGACTGCATGGTGCCAATCTCCACTCACATAACTACTAGACTATCCTGCCTTCTTCTGATGTGATTATAATCATTTGGGGTGATAGCTGTCTTCCTAACTTGGTTGCACTTCTCCTGTGACCTGTCCACACAGGTCACACATGGCCAAATCACCCACCCTGTCTGACCCTTCTGCTTATGCCCCTTCTCTGAGGCTACCCCAGTTGAGGATGTGTGAAACTGTACAGTAGCCCTGCCAGGGTAAAAGTAGGGCAGGCCTACCCTGAGTCTAAAGGTCACCTTTTATACTTGGGTAGAAAATCCATCTTTGCATGTATAGCAGAATAATGATACAATGTCTACAGACAATAACAACACAGTATCAACAGACAAGATTGTTGCTGGTAGGGCGTTATGCCGAACCCAATGTCTTGCTGCCCAGGGAGGTTCAGGAGCGCTGCCCTCAGTGGAGACCTGTCTCCCTTGCTTGGCATCATGCTACTTGTGCCCTCCTTGCCCACTCCTACTTTCCATCATCACTGTCCTCACCCACAAATTGTTAGTGGTGAGACTGGGCATTTCTGTAGCCTCAAGGATTTGAATGCACTGGAGAAAATTAGAAAGTTATATGATTTAAATGCTTTTGGAAGTAGTTTTAAAGAGTGGCTTTAGATTTGTGATGAAAATCTGCAAGGCTTTTGCAAAATTTCCTCATTTGCCAAAGACTCTAATTTTCTTAGACCCAAACGTAGATTTGAAAACCTATGTCAAACCACCAGTCTCTATTTTTGACTTGAGTCTTAGTCTCAGGGTAAAAAACGATGAAATAGTGTTTTGGGGGGAATAAGCTATTTATCCATTCTAGATAAATGAATACTTTACCTTTTATGACAACTTATATTTTTTAATCCTGTATGACATATTATTATACTATTATTACCATAATAGGCCTCCTCAAATTCTTTTTCAGAACAAGATGGTGGGACATCAACACATAAAAACAAATAACATGCATAGCAGTGTTGGAAGCACAAGAAAAGGGATATCAGCCACACAGGAGGCGCAAATCCTAATGTGTAAAAGCCCATTCAGTACACGCTACCTTTCAGAGCATGAATACCCTTTAGCAAAGTTGTCTTTAACTAAGGATTCTTAATACCTTCACAGGAATAATTCAGTACTCAAAAAGAGTAAAATTTTCATCCTGAGAATAAATACTCAATTAGAGTCACCTTTCTGCAAGGAGGATGTGTAAATATGGAAACTGGCTGAGACACAGGGCTTAACTGTACTGTCTCTGAGGATGGGCCAGTGGAACTGTATGTTCAGTTTAACAAATATTTATTGAGTTCGACTCTGGTTATCTACTGCTGTGTAACAAACTACCCCAGAACATAGTGGCTTAAAACAACATTTTAAAAAATTATCTCTCAGAGTTCTGGGGATTGATGGGCACGGTTGGGAGGTTTTCACATGGGGTTCCTTATACATATGCCTGCAAACAGCAGTAGAGGCTGGTGTCATCTGAAGGCTTCTTTACTCACATTTCTGGTGCCTGGGTTTGAGTTCGACTCTGGTTATCTACTGCTGTGTAACAAACTACCCCAGAACATAGTGGCTTAAGACAACATTTTAAAAAATTATCTCTCAGAGTTCTGGGGATTGATGGGCACGGTTGGGAGGTTTTCACATGGGGTTCCTTATACACATGCCTGCAAACAGCAGTAGAGGCTGGTGTCATCTGAAGGCTTCTTTACTCACATTTCTGGTGCCTGGGTTGGTTGGGAATTCTCTTTCCATGTGGCCTCTTCACATGGCTAGCTTGGGCTTCCTCACAGTATGGTGGTCTCAGAGTAGTTGAACGTTTTTACATAACAGTTGGCTTCCCCCAGAGAGGACAGGTGGCTTCCCCCTCCAAGAGAACCAAGTGGGAGCTGCAAGATTTCTTATGTGACCCAGTCTCAGAAGTCATTCAAGCAATACTTTCCATCAAAATTTAACAGTTGGCTTCCCCCAGAGAGGACAGGTGGCTTCCCCCTCCAAGAGAACCAAGTGGGAGTTGCAAGATTTCTTATGTGACCCAGTCTCAGAAGTCATTCAAGCAATACTTTCCATCAAAATTCATTATTTAAAGGAATCACAGACCAGCCTAGATTCAAGGGGAGAGAGGAATAGACTCCACCTCTCCATGGGAGAGAATAGGCTGTATATACAGGGAAGAAAGAATTTGATGGCAGCCATGCTGGAGAAGGGCTACCACAAGTTTCAGCCACACATGGGATAGGCACTGAAGTGTCAATGCTGAATGGAACATGGGGTGGTCCCAGGCACAGAAGGGGACGGGCTGAAAGAAATGGAGATCACTGTAGAGACAGTGGAGTAGTTCCGATAGCTCCCAATTCCCCTCTAAGAAAAAATGGCTTGGAGAAACAGTTATTTATATTTGGATCAGAGGGACAATTTCTTGAACAGAACAAGGATCTACAAAACATACATCTCATGTCAGCTCCGCAGAGGAGGGGACGTTGGTGGGTAAAACAATTGCTCTCTTTGCCTTCATTGTACTTACCACCACCTGCATTTCTTTTGTTTATTTAGCCTTATTGTCTATTTCCCTCCACTGGAATGTGGCTGATTTATTCACTTCCTGGCACACAGTAGCTGCTCAATAAATGTTTCTTAAATAAAAGAATGAATCTTTAGAGTCTGGAAAGAAGCACCCTAGTGACCACTGAAACTGGTTGAGATAGACTATTCTCTTTTGAGAGTAAAGAAAAGTGTTAAGTTCCCTATGCCACGTCCAGGATGTGCTCTAAATCCTCTACCTTACTTGGAATTCAGCTTGATGACTACTTGAAATCAGAAGGCAGAACAAGCCTGAAAGTGGTTCAACAATGTCTATTTATGGCTGACATATTCGGGGAAAGGATAAATTTAGGCTTGCATTAGGCAGGACTCTATCTTGCTATGCCCCAAATATATTGAGTTAGAATTGGCCTATCGATTCAGATTTGTGTCTTAGAATTTCATGGCAAACATACCAGGGTGGAAGTGAAGATAAAGGCATTAAGAGGCTGCCCCTTCAAAGAGCTGTGTCTTTGGAGGCTTTTTGGGTTTGTGCAGGTGCCAAGGTTGCATAGGGTAGTGGGTAGGAGCATAGAGGCTGGAGCTGGCTGTAGCTGTCACCACTGCTCACTTGTTGTAGGAACTTGTGCAAGTTTCTCTAATTTCTCTGCCTCAATTCTCCGTTCTGTAAAATGGAGATATTAACTACATTTACCTACAGCATTGGTATAGGGAATTAATGTATGGAAAGCACTTAGAATAGTACCTGGCATATGGTAAGGGTCATCTGAGTGTTTGCTAACTTTGCTGCTCGTGGAAGCCATCAACAAAGTGCTGGGATTGTTTCATTAAGACGAGGAATGTAATTGTTTCAGGGCAGGTGAAGCTTTTTCTTTCCAATAAATTTCCTTTAAGATTTTTGTTATACTGTTTTAACAACAGTGACAAAAAACCATCACATTATAGTGTTGATGTTGAGCTAATGACACCACTATATCTTCTTGTCCAGAGGGGGAGGTGCTCTAATGTACCCTGGGGATACAGACATGCCCACAGAATATCTGATGCCAGGGCTCAGGGAGCTACTCATAAACTGTTTCCTGTCATAAACTAAGAGCAGGCTCAGTCTCTGAGATGGTCAAACCCCAGTCGCGGTGGGTAATGCATCTAACGAGGTGGGTGGAGAGGCTGGACTTGGAACCAGAGACCTGAGTTGGCTTTTGGGCCTGGCTTAGCCACTTTTAAGCAGTGTGATCCTGGGCAAGCCACTTAAGGCCTTGGGCTTGGTTTCATACATCTGTAAAATGGGGGTAGTAATTCCAGCCTACCTCAAAGCACTGTGAGGTTCCAATGAAAAGTGGATGGGGAAGAGTTTCACAACTGTTAGTCTTTATAAAAACATCAGACATCAATATTCCAGGGGTCTGGGAAGATCTGTTTTCTCTATACTCTCCCCTTCTCCCATCTTCTTTCCCCCCTTCCCACTGTCTTGCTGGACTCAAGCTCATCAGTTTTAAGCTAAAAATTTTGACTTCTACTAACATAACAATTGAGGTATGGGACATTTCATTCCAGCAGTTATTCGAAAAGGGATATTTTGGAGCAAGTTTAGAGGACTAAGTATGCACGTACAGGCATCTGAGGGAAGCAACAGGTATAAAAAGAGAAAACTGGCAGGTAAAGAATTTTACTAATTCATTGGCCCAGGACTGGCCTTACTAACAGCAGAAGCAAACTGAGATAATGTGGCCTAAGAAACTGCTTCACAGACCTCGGGTTCAAATCCTGGCTCTGCAAGTTACCTGACCTCTCAGAGCTGCCGTTTCCTATCAATAAAACAGGGGCAACAGCACCAGCCTCCCAGGGTTGTGAGGTCTAAACGAGTCGAGGTAGGAAAGCCCTGGCACGTAGCTGATACCTGTATTGAGCTGTGCAAGGAAGCCTTACCAGGAATTTCCGTTTCTGCTTCCAGTGGCTGCCCTGAGCATTGGTCGCAACGTGGGCTTCGGTGACAGTTTTGATGAGCTCCCACTCCTCGTCCGTGGGCTCCGGCTTGTGCCCGATGGATTTCTGCAGCTCTTCGCGCCGCCTCTTCTCCCGATTCTCCTCTATCAGCTTCCTCTTGGCCAGCCTCTTGCTGTCGTCCAGCACCACTGGGAGGGGAGAAAGAAGAGATAAGACACACAAAGACCCTGAGACACATGGCAATGGCACGTCCTGCAGCCTCAGGGGTGGGGCCTACTGACATGCAGATGGCTCAGCGGTCCTGCGCGCTGGGCCTCACTAGGACATGTTTTCCCCTCGGCAGCAAATTGCCATTGACCAGCCATTGTCCCACATGAGCCCTGGTGCCAAACTCCCAGTGCTCAGGCAGCTTTCAGAAACAAAGCCCCAAGGGAATTGGACACTGGGCACCCCAACTCCGCAGAAGGTGGCCCTAGAGAGAGTAAAGCAGAGAGAAATAAAATCTATATTACCTGCAGGATCACAGACAAATCCTTCTAGCCAATCATCTGAATTTACTCTCAGAGTTTCTGTCCTTCCTTCCTCCCCTAAATGGCTCTCAGTATGGAGAACTTCAGGTTAAAGAAAAATTTTGAAGTGGTAAATGATCCCTTCCTTAGAGAAAAAAGGGCCCCAACTCTCCATGGCTCCCTTATAGGCTAATTGGAATGTGGCTGGGCCTATCTTGGGCTTCTCAGGTATGCACTTGGCATTACTTTCTACTTGGATAACCCTCAATGGTGGATAAAGAGCCCAGGCTTTGGAATCTAGAAAGACTTGGGTTTGAATCCATCCTAGCTGTGTGACTGCTGGCAAGTTACTTAGGCTCTCTGAGCTTTCATTTCTTTCCATATGAAATGGGGCCCAAAATACCCACTTCATAGGGTATTCCATGAGACAATGCACTGTAAGTGCTCCGTAAATGCAGTCGTGACTTTTATCATTTGTGCAGAAGGGAAATAAGAAGGGCAGGTAATAAGAAACCTATACTTCTGTGGTTAATTTCCAAAACAAAACAATTTCACTAGATTCTTAGCAACTATCAGTGCAATGGAAAGGCTCAGGTTTTACATTACAGAGTCATAGTATTTCAGGGCCATTCCTTGATGAAGGGGTGACCTCGCAGAAAATGAAAAATAAAAACAGACATAGCAGGAGGAAGAGAACCAAGGTGCCCCGCTAATCCGCAAACAGAATATTAAACCTCAGATCGTCTAGATTTGACTGGATTGTCAAAGTCATGTGAGCACGTACAAATGTGGAAAATATGTTTTGTTAAGTCATTTTGGTTCACTTACTAAAGGGAGAGGAGGAATGGGTAATAATACTCATAGCCCCATTTCCCAAATGCTTCCAGTGTGCCAGGGATTGTTGCATTTGACGTGCATTATGTAATTTAATCCTGAAAACAACCCTAAGAGGTTGGTAATGATTTCACAGAAGGGAAACCTAGGGCTTAATTCCGAAGGTCACACAGCTAATAGGTGGCAGATCTGGGACTTGAACAGAAGTTTTTCTGATTATGAACCCTGAGCTCTTATAATGCCTCACAAGCAAGTAGGGGGCACTCAGAATTGATTTCCACACAGTCTAGATTGACATTGAGTTTCTTAACCTCATAAACACTCATGGTTTAAATTTCTCAATAAAACAATGAAGTGGATATTCAATATTAACTGTTCACTATAGTGACATATCTAAGCATTTGACTCTAAGTCAGTCATATTCACATATCCTTATCAGGCATATTGGCAAGGGCTAAAAGTCTTTAAGGGATGAACATGGAGAATAAACTCAGCCAGAGGTGGGGATTAACCCTGGATTTCCAGTCTAACACAACCTCTTCCTTTTTTAAGATTCTTCATTCTGTCTTCTTTAATGGGCAAATCAGGACATTCCACAGATTTTTTTTTCCCTGAGAGAATCCTATTTATCACATAGATGTAAACCATGATTATTTCCTTTCATTAGGAAAAATCTTCATTGCATTTTCTTTTTTCTGCTTTTCCTTTCTTTTTTTTTCTTCTTAACGAACAGTTGAAGTCTCACACTGATGTGCAAAAAATGTATGCCAGTAGAAATCATTAACATTGATGCCTGGCAAAGGGAGGCCACAGATTCTGAATGACATGATTCTTAACTTATGATTAGATTAATCAAAGTGACTGGTGTAAATCCCTCGCACAGTGTGGGGAGAAGAGACCCCAAAGGCTAATCTTACCACCATATGCTGTGGCACTTGGAAAACTGGGTAGAATGACTTCAGCTTGAAATGTCTTTATGGCTAAAAATATAACAAACAAGCAACTGCAGGATGACTCATTCAATAACACTCAAATTCACATTCTTCAGAAATTTCTGAACACGATGTTTTCTGCCAGTGCCCCATCTCCAAAAATGTCCATAAAATAAATTTCTGTCTCTGCTTTTAAAAAATATTAGGACTAGTCCATGAGGCTCTCACCATATGAACACTGTGTGTCAAATGATACCTCATCAAGGTAAAAGGACAAGACATCTCATTAGTAACCTTTGTTACAAACAGAGTGAGAGGGATAATTTAACCTCTTCCCTCCTTCATCATCTGGATACTTGAGAGTTAGGAGTTGATAAGAGAGGGACAGGATGAAAACCACCCAGCAATTGCTCCCACCTCCTTTTCAGGGCAAGCCTGGATATGGGGAGTGAGGGGTGTATGGGAGAGCAAGGTGTCTCCTCTCTGTCCGTGTGGGTTCCTGCTTTCTTTTCTGCCCGGTTGATCTCCTTGAACCAAACCCTTCCCCAATCAACACTCCTTGAATATGAAGCAAATGAAAAAGATCTACTTACAATCTGTTGCCATGCCAACATAGATGCATTTCTTAAAGCGACACTCCTGGCACTGATTTCGTGTAACTTTGTCTATGACACATTTTCCTTCATATTTACAGGAATAGGATGGATGGAGATTTTTCTGAATGGTTCTTCTAAAGAAACCCTACACAAAAAAGAAAGACCCAAAGCAACAGTTTCACATTTTCTAAAAATAAGTGATTCCAAAATTTTGTGTTCACAAAACCATGAGATGAATTGTTTTGGACTTTAAATGGTATTTGGGCCTCTAGCTCTACGTATTCAAATATGGGACAATTGGCCCAAAGTGAATCAAAGAATTCTAAATCTGAGCTGCAGGACATGTCATAGGACTACAGAGTCAACACCTTTTTGGCATTTATTCAAGGAAAAGAGGCTAATGGGAAAATCTAGTGCTTGCTTTTATTTTTTCCTAAACATTGAATAATATAAATATACTATTTCATTTCATAGGGTGTTATAATTGTGTTGCTAAATCAGGCTATGAGGAGCTTTGCTATATTATACTCGGAAATAAAAGAGCTGGATACTTGTGAGACTATGTTAGTTAATAATTTAATCATTTAGTAATTAAATAGATGCATTAACTGCCTGTAGAGATTTAGTTTAATTCTGGCTTTTGACTCTTGAGATGGTCATGACCAGCTCACTTAGCCTTTCAAATAGTACTTAGGGAATAGAAAATTCTAGGTTTTTGACCAACTTTTTTTCCCCATAGCTCACTGCATTGGGGTTTTTCCTTTCATAACACTCTTTTTCTCCAATATCTGTAGACATCATACATCTGCAAGTTCAATATTCTTCCCTTTCTAAAGGAACTAGAGAGTGCCACTGTAAAGTTTTTTGAGGACACTTTTGTTCTAGGTTTGGGTGACTTATATAACACTCTCAGAGATGTGTTGTACTAGAACCTTTCTGGACATGATGTTCAAGCCTTGCAACTGTACTCTATATTGTAGGAATTAAAAATGGCAGTGAGCAGTTATTGTGACAGGCACGTTGCAAAGTGCTGTAGATGCATTCCATATCCTTCTATCTTTCCCACAGCCTTCTAAGGTAGGTAGTCTTAATATCTCCATTATAGGGATTAAAAAAACCCCAAAAAACCAAAAAGCAAAAAAAGTAAGCCTCAGACAGGTTAAATCATTTTTCCCTAATCACATGGTAAATACATGCTGGAACTTGATCTGCAATCCAGGAGTTTCACTACAAACTTATTTGCTTAGCTGCTTACATGATGTAAAACAAAGTGAATTTTACTGTATTATTTAAATGTTTTAGATGGACAGATTATAAATAACCCCTCCCACCTACTCCTCAAAAAAACTTGGTTTTATCTGTTTTGGTAGAATAGCAAGGCAACACAAGTTTTGAGGAATATTCTCTGCTAAAGCTTAAAGAAGGCCTCAAACTTTGTTAGATAAATGGTGGGACAGAAATACTGGTTGACCTACAATCAGCCCCAATTTTTGTTATCCTGTTTAATTTTCTTTGGCTTTGATTATGTACATATAACCACTGGCATGTTTGTCACTCAGACATGAAAGCTTTTCCTTATTAATAAAAAGGATCAAGGTAGGATTTTGTATTGGGTAAAGCAGAATAAAATGGAAAAATGCCACAAATCTGAGAAGAATGGACTTGATTTGGGGGCATGTGTGCAAATCTCTTCTCATTTTCCTTGCTCAAGTTCTAACAGAAAATCTATCATATTTATACAGCATTTGGGCTTTGTGTCCTTGTACGTTTGAGTCCATTCATTTAAATGATGTTGATATATGTTGTAAGATTCACTAAATCACACATGGGGCAGCTGTTTGAGATGTTAGCACTGTTTCTCTGTGTGTTCAAGACAGGCAAAACCTGTGAAAGCATGGATGTAAGAGCAGGCCACCGAGCGAAAAACAAGCTTTCCTGCCAGCTCTCTCCTTCACCTTTGTTACCCTCTGTCTGAGTAGGGCCAGAGATGTTAGCACTGTTTCTCTGTGTGTTCAAGACAGGCAAAACCTGTGAAAGCATGGATGTCAGAGCAGGCCACCGAGCGAAAAACAAGCTTTCCTGCCAGCTCCCTCCTTCACCTTTGTTACCCTCTGTCTGAGTAGGGCCAAGGAGGGCCAAAGAAACCCAGAGGTTCCCAGCAAGAAGATGTATGTCGCAGGCAGGGAAGAGAGGGGTAGGTGGCACACCTCCTTCTGGAGGAGGCAATGTTTCCCTAAAAGTACCAAAGTCCAAACAGGAAATCCCAAAGCCCAAAGCATTCAGCAAGAATGCTGACTGCTTCTCCGAGGACCAGAACATTGTTACTCTCTCTGAAGTTGGCCTGGAGGAGGCAATGTTTCCCTAAAAGTACCAAAGTCCAAACAGGAAATCCCAAAGCCCAAAACATTCAGCAAGAATGCTGACTGCTTCTCCGAGGACCAGAACATTGTTACTCTCTCTGAAGTTGGCGGGGCCCTCTTCTCCCCAACACTCTGTGCTGACTCATGTTCCAGGGTGGGAGTGAGCACATGGAAGAGTCAGACGACAGTAAGGACAGAATGAGGTGTGATATACCAGACAGAAGGTAACGTTCATTTCTCCAAAAAGGCTACTCTGTGCACTTTTTGTTGGAAAGAATAAAATAATTTGTTCTTTGCTTATTTCAAAAAAAGAGTTGAGGTGTCCAGCTGTACCACAGCCTACCTCTGATGACTTTTCTTGGGCATTTCATGAACCAGATCCTTTCTAAGATGTTGGCCTGCTCTAAGCTATAATAAAACATAGTTTGACACATGATGAGGGGCCACTTCCTTTGTGTAATGTAAAGATGCTAGGTCCCTTGATTTTAAAAAGCGACAAAGTCATTAACTCCTGGAAGTGAACTTGAAAAGAAGACATTTAAAATAGTCTACTTACAAAAAAAAAAAAATCCTTTTCGAGGTTAGCTAATAAAAGAGATGCCCCAGGGAATAAATAAAAACATATTTCATTGATGATTTGTTGATGAGTGGAGGTCTTGGTTTTATAAATCAATATCAGACATATTTTTTGCATTCTAAGAAGAAATGGATCCATTTATTAATGGTTCAAGATGATGCACTAATTAGTGTGATAGGGAGCTGAGTGTCACCTCCCTAGTTCAATATTTGGGCAGCTGTTAAAAAGCTTTGAGTCATCCTTAAAAAATGTTTTATTGTGAGACAGTATCGACATTCTTTCTACAAAAGATGTATAAAAACCAGCACATTGCAACAGAAAAATCTTCAAAAGATTTCACTGTCATCAGGACAAAAATGGGCAAAAAGATTCTCCCCATACACATTGCAAGTATGGGGTAGAAATATTTTTAAATTACAGGTTTGAATAAACAATACATGGAACATAGCCTTTTCATCTTTTACCACTCTTAAAATCGGTGTTTCATTTGAAAAACCTTTTTGCCTTTTTCCAGGATGCTTTGTAATTATATTAAATGATCTGGACGACCACCTAGGAAGGCTCTTTTCTGATTTTATGATGCAGGCCATCCTAGAAACAGAATTCTTTTTTTTTTTTT